GCGTGAGTTAGAGTTTGCCAAATGAATATGTTAAATAGTACGAATGAGATACGATACACAAGAAGGGAAGGTGGCAAGGGGGGTATACCACCACCAGATATGAAACTAAACCAACTATTCTGCGTGCAATGCAGGTATGCTTAGAAATACATGTTATTACATTTCATGTGGCTTGCTTAACATCGGCGCAACCTAGCGTCGCCTTCGGTTTTAGTTTGCTCAACCTGGATCCAACATCGTGTTCCTGAGGCTCCCTCTTAGCTATGTCGTTTCGCTATTTTATCCCATGTCAATAACTGTATCGTTAGTCCATATTGTCACCTCTTTGTTCTTCGATTTCCGTGCAACTAAGTTCTACAATCCAAACAGCCCGTTTCTTCAGTTTACACTTGTTTTTGTAAGGATCCTGCATTACGAATATCGGAACGGGTATGACAAGCAGCAGTGATTCTAGAAGATGCGCTTGTGTCAGACCCAGTTTCTTGGAGGCTTAATCGAAGCCGTTCATTACCATCCAAACGTCGCACTTCGGTCCAGCAAGATAGTTGTCTAGGGTGACTTGACTGTGCAGTAGAAAACACACAAATCGCTGCCCAAAGTCTTCGTGTTTCCACCTGGTTGCTTGATGCAGCAAATCTGGGAGAAGGGAAGGGGGTGTCAGGGAGGAGGAGGACCAAACGCCCTAAACCTCCGTCGATTGTTAGTTTCTGGATTTATCAGGAAGAAACACCCTGACGAGTCCATCCAAACCTCTCAAAGCCCACACCGCCTCGAATCTCCCTCGAGTATCTCGTCTCGTCTCTCAACTCGCTCCAGCCCTCACCAGCAGCCACCACGCCTCTCTCGTTCACCTCTCACTTGACTTTGGTATCCATCACAGCCGCATTCACCTCCTTGCTGCGCTGTGTGTGACACCGTGCCGCGTCACACCGGAGCACGAGACGCTAACGTCGTGCTTGCTTCAAGTAAGCTAGCCGTTTCATACTCTTGCCAGCGAGCTCGCGTTGCTCCTGGTTCCTTCGGCCTTCCGACCCACCACTTCTCAAGGTGCATTCATTAACCTTCCTGCTCGTTCGCCTGCACATGCTTCTTACCACCGCTCTGCAGTACGTCGCCTCAGCCAACCGCGGATTTCACGTCACTTTTCTCGAACCGCGTCAGTGCCCGCGGCATAACAAGATCCTGGTCACCTGTTGTCCGCCGGCGCGACGAGTCTCTGACACGTATCTTTCGCCGGGCTTCGCGGGGCAATCGCACTACTGATGCTGTCGCCGCGTAACGCATCGTTTTGATACTGATTACCTATTACGCCACGGGGTATCCAAGGTGTTGCCGACTGAGCTATAACGTCCCGTCCTCTAAGCGTTACTCGAAGGGTTTTAGTTTATCATATTTTTGCTCCGGGTGACGCGGTTGCGCGTACTTTCCGCCGCCCCGGCCCCTTCGAATCCCGTATAAAAAAGAACGCGTCGATCCAGGCGCAGTCGGAATCTCTTGTACGAGCAGTAGTCGCATCAGCAGCAGCATCATCATCTGTAACCGCAGCATCTATTGTTGGAATCCGGTAGGCAGCATGGCCAAGTCAGCGCAAGGGAAGGAGCTTCTAGAGCTCTACGACAAGCTGCAGACCGCAGCGGGAAAGGCGGCGGATTCGCCGGCGGACGAGGACCGCGCGCTGGATCTGCTCGCGCAAATGGCGGACTGCCGCGTCAGCACGGAGATTCTAATGGAAACGCAGGTGCGATTGTCCTCGCTTCCTGCTTCAAAGTTTGTTGTGTCTTCATTTCCAAAGCAAGACTAGGGTGGGAAGGGGAGAGTGGGAAGGGGAGAAGCGGCTGTTGCGCGTCTAGGGTGCGCCGCGCCGCCTCACGGCCTTGCTATCGACGACTATGCGCGGATGGCGCCGACGCACTTAGGCGGAAATGCGGAGAAACGGAGACGCGCATAAGGGGGAAGGCACTTCGACCGAAGCACTTCAGTTTGGTCCGCATATGTTCCCATCCCACTGACCTCCCTGCGTTCGTGTGACCCTTTCTCTTCCGCCGTCTCCCATTTGCGCTCCTTCCGCCCTTTCCCCGCCCCTCTCTTCCCGTTTCCTCCCCGCCCCGTTTTCCCGTTCCGCAATGTCGCGGGCAGATGGGGAAGCTTATCCGCAAGCTGACAAAGCACACGTGCGCGGGGATTCAAAAGGGCGCGGGGAAGTTAGTGGAGCAGTGGAAACAGGTGGTTGCCGCAGAGGCGCGGGGCGGGGGAGGCGGAGGAGGCGGGAAGGAGAAGGAACAGGATCGGGGGAGGAAAGAGGGGGAGCGGGAGGGGAAGAGGCCGGGAGAGTCGCACGATAGATCAGATGGGGGGAAGGATAGGGGGAAAGCGGGGCGCGGCGGAGACGACTCGAGGGAAGACGGCAGAAGCGTGGGGAACGGGGGGAAAAGCGCGAACGGCGCGAGCGGGGGGAAGGAGCGAGACGCAGCGAAGGGGAACGCGGTGGAGAAAGCAAAAGGCGCAGGAGCAGCAGCAGTGCCGTTCAAAACAAAGATGCTGATCAAAACGGGGGACGTGATGAGAGACCGGCCGCGCGAGGCGGTGCTGCAGGCGCTGTGCCTTGTAGCAGGGGAGGTGCAGGGGGAGGAGGAGGAGCGCGCGAGAGCCGTGGATGTCACCTCTGTAGCCATGGAGGTTGAGACGGAGCTGTGGCGCAAGTACGGCGCCACCAAGGACCTCAAGGTGCGGGGGGGGGGGCGGGCGGGGGGGAATGTTCTGGGGAGGAGTTGGGATGAGTTCGATGAGTTGGAGAGGGGTTAGGGGTTGGAGGGTCGGGGTTTTGAGGTGTTGGGAGGACCTGTCACACCTGTCAGTCCCTCTTCCTCCACATCCCCACGTCAGCCAACCTGTCAGTCCCTCCCGCTTTCCCCCCCCTCCCCCCACCGCTCCACTTCTAAATGGGGGACGCGCGTATGTTGAAAAAGCGCAAAGAATCTCCATTGCAAACCGTGCAGTCTCACTCCCGCTCTTCGCTTTCACCCTGCTCCCTGCAGTACAAAACCAACGCACAGTTCAGTTCAGTTCAGTTCAGTTCTGTTCTGTTCTGTTCTGTTCTGTTTCACCTCCTTGAGCATCCCAATCCTGCAAATTCAAGTCGCCTCAGCACTCTCAACTCATCAATGCGCCCCCTCACAACCCCTTCCTACCCCCCCCAACCTCTCCCTTCTCTCCCCTTAACCCACCAGGACTGCAAGAACAAGTTCCGGTCCATCTCGTTCAACCTCGAAGGAGCACAATATCTAATGCGCCACATGGCCCCAACATATGAGTTCCTTGCTCCCCTTTCTCCCCCTCCCCCTCCCCCTCCCCCCCCCACCAGGACTACAAGAACAAGTTCCGGTCCATCTCGTTCAACCTCAAGGATCCCTCCAACCCCGACCTGCGGCGCCGCGTGCTGCTGGGCGAGGTATCCGCCGTTGAGCTGGCCGTCATGTCCCCGGAAGACATGGCGAGCGACTGCCGCAAGCGCGAGAACGAGGAGGTGAAACGCAAGAAGACGTTCGAGGCGATGCGCGGGCAGACGACGGGCGCGACGACGGACATGTTCAAGTGCGGCAAGTGCGGGCAGCGGAAGACCACGTACTTCCAGATGCAGACGCGGAGTGCTGATGAGCCCATGACCACGTATGTCACGTGCCTGACCTGCCAGAACAGGTGGAAATTCTGCTAGGGAGAGAGGGAGGTTTTGGCGCGCCTCCGAACGAGAGGCGAGTTTTCCCGTTTTGGGGCTTGAGAAGGAAGGGCCGCTTGTATTGGTGTCGTCTGCGTGGCCTGCCGAAACTGGTGGAGGTTTGGTAGGGAGAGAGGCACGAGAGGTGGGGAGGGAGTGGGGAGGTGCGGGCGAGGAAAGGGGCTAAGGGGTAGGGGGTGGGGACCTGTTAGTGCGGGTATCCTGGAAGGTTCTGTGTGGGTTGCTTTGTGAAAAGTAAGGGGAAGGGAGCGAGGGTGTTGGTGTTGGGGTGACCTTTGAGTCGACTCATAAGTCAACTAGGGTGTGTGTATGCGTGTGGGGTGGGAAAGGGGCAGTGAGGAGTAAAAGTGCTGGGTATCGTCGAGAGCAACAGCAGCTTGGGTCAACTCAAATCCTTGTGTGGGGGCTGCAACTGCATCTTGATGGGATCACTAAGTAGTAAGTAGGTACTCTACTGTACCTTGATGGTAGCCTAACTCATACCGGTACCGTACACCATATACAGGTATTGGTATTATTTTACGTGGTAGGGTCAGTTATGGAGTGAAGCACGGATGACTTGTTTGTAGCCTTTCTTGACAGCCGGTTGCAGGCGCACTCTAAGAGCGTATTCATCAAGAAAACCTCATATCAAGATTGTACCTTTTGCCTGGTATAAGGGCGTATTCCTATCCTCCTATCAAGAAAACCTCCTATCAAGCTCTCACTGGAAAATTCCCTAAACCCAAAATCTCTCGCTACTTTTACCAGGCAAAATGTACAATCTTGATAGGAGGTTTCTTGATAGGAGGCCGTAGGAATACGCCCTAAGTAGCGAGATGTTTTGGGTTTAGGGGAATTTTCAGTGGGAAGTTCATATGAGGTTTTCTTGATATGAGGATAGGAATACGCTCTAAGCCGGTCTAAGTGTGCTCCTACTGGTTTCTGTTTATTGCTTTGCATTACTTCATGCGACCGGAATATCTGCATGTCATGAGGGAATACGGTCCATGCATTTCCACAGACCTTCGCCTACACATAGCGACGCCGCCTTGCAGAAGCTGGACACTGAAAATCATGCTCAAGATCCATGCGCGGAAATATTTGTACACATTTATAAACGAATGACCAGAAACATAAATGTACAGCGAGCCCAGATGGCCATGGCCCGCGAAGAACCACAGCAAGAATAACCTACCCAGCAAGAGAAAACCCGTCTACGGGTCAACAAACAATCAACCCTACACCAGATGACCTTGGGGAGAAAGCTTCGTTGTTGCTGAAGCTCTCAACTGAAGCTTTGGCTTGGCATGCCAGCCAGGTGCAAGTCGAGACTGGGGAGGCAGGCGAGGTGCACTCGTGCGAGGTGTTCCAGGCGTTTACATGGCCTTGGAGAAAGCGGAGTAGCCACAGTCCGTGGAGAGCACTCCAGACGTCTCGTAGTCAGCGGCCTTGCCGTCCAGGAAGCCCTGGCCATTGTCGCCGTCGGCAGAGAAGGGAGTGCGCAGCAGCCGCGACAGCATGGCGTAGTCAATGGCTCGCTCGGCGCGACCCTCGCGGTACGTCTGCCCCATGATGCCGTGCACCGACGGGGAGCGCGACACGTGCTTGAAGTTGACGTTCAAGTGCACCTGCGCGTCGTCGGGCGTTTGCAGCAGCGGGTGCGCGGGCCTCAGCTTGATGTCCATGGCCAGCTTGTCGCCGATGCGCAGCGAATACGCGTCCACGTCGAAGAATCCGCCGCCCTCCTGCTCGTACCCCTTGAACACAAACGCCAGCCCGCCGTCCAGGTTGTACGACTCCCCGGGCTGAAACCACAGGCAGGGATGAGATGAAACACACCAAGGGTTAGTTAAAGCGGTATTCAGAAACGAAAGAGGAAATACGAGCACCCCCCGATAAGGGCAAGAGAGCAAGTGGGTAAGAGCGGGTGGGCTGACCTCGAGTGAGGGCAGGACGCGGCCGTCGAACTCGATGAGCGAGAGGAAGCCGTTGTTGCGCTTGTCCGACTTGCCGTTGCGCGCCGCCAGGCGGAAAGAGTGCTCCACGCCGTCAACGCTCCACACGAAGCCCAGCTCACGGATCCACGTGCGCACCGCCAACCCGTTGCGCAGCAGAGACGCGCCGATGGTGCGCGTGTCGTAGTACCCGCGCATCTTCATGTTCACGTGCAGGCTCGAGTCCGTCAGCAGGCAGTACGACTTCTCCGGCGCGCCGTTGAACTCGAACCGCGTGCCGTGCGCGCCGCGGAAGTGCGGGTCGTGCTTCGTGTACGGGCAGGGGCGGCCCAGAGTCGACGCATTCACATACGTGCGCGTCACGCCGCCGACAACCACCGTGCGCGTCTCGCAAGTGGGCTGCGCGTCCGTGGGCTTGTACAGGTAGCAGATACCGCAGTTGGAGCACGCGAGCGACGACGGGATGTAGTGCTGCCAGAAGGAGCACGCAGTCGAGTTGGTGCACGCCGCGCAGCACTGCCGGCGCAGAACAGCGTTGCCGAAGCACCGGGGAGTCAAGCCAGTGCCGCAGCGCCCGCCATTGGGAATCATGTAGCGGCCACTAAGGCCGCTGTTATCCGTGCAGTTGTCCGTGCAGGGGATGTCCAGAGGAGCCGTGCACGTTGTCACGCCCATAGTAGGGTACTTGCCGTCGTTCCACAGAATTGTTGCGGTTGGGGTGGGAGGAGGGGGAGACGGGGGAGGAGGAGACGGAGGAGGCGGGGACGGGGGAGGTGGAGGAGACGGGGGAGGAGGCGGCGGCGGCTGTTTGATGGTGCAGGGTCGGCCGAGCCTGGAGACGTTGGCCTCTAGACGGTTGAGGCCTCCTGCGAAGATCATGGTGGTCTGGCACTTGGGTGCGGGGTCAGTGGGTTTGTAGAGGAAGCACACTCCGCAGTTGGTGCACTGCGTCGCTTCAGGACTGCAGGGGGAATGGAGTGGGAAGGAGGGGGAATGGAGTGGGAAGGAGGGGGAATGGAGTGGGAAGGGGGGGGAATGGAGTGAGGAGGAGGGGGAAAGGAGTGGGAAGGAGGGGAAATGGAGTGGGAAGGAGGGGGAATGGAGTGGAACGGGGATGGGAGGGAAGGGTGAGGAGTGGGAGGGGGAAGTACGGGAGCGTGTGTGTGGCCGGTGGTACAGGAGGCATGTTTGGGGAAGGCGTGGAAAAGAGGCTTGGCAAGAATCAATGGTGGGGGAGTGGTACCATCGGGGGTTGGAGAGGCGCGTGCGAACAGAATGAGGGACTAGGGAGTAAGTGAAGAGTGGAGACGGGGAGGAAGTGAGTGGAAGGGAAGGGGATAAGGCAGGTAGAGGGGCGAGGGGGCGAAGGGGCAAGGGGGCAGGGTGTGCGGGGGGGGGGAGGGAGTGCTCACGGGGGGAAGTGCTGCCAGAAGGTGCAGTTGACCATGTTTGCGCATGCGGTTGCGCAGTCCGCCGACGTTATTCCGCCTCCCGCGCACACCGGCGCAACTGCGCCCGCGCATCGCCCGCCGTTGGGGATCTGCGGAAAGGGAGAAGAATGGGGGGAGAGCAAGGAGCGGGGTGGGGGAGGGGAGGATCGGGGGTGGCTGCGACTGACGTGGGAAAGATGGAGAGGACGAGGAAATTGCGCGGGGGATGGAGGCGACAGAGCGGCGGCGAGTGGGATGGACGTTGAACCGACGGGCAGGTTGAGGTTGAGGTTGAGAAATGTGAGTGAAAGGTGGGACAATAATGTAGCGCGGGTAGCACCGCGGCCAGCAAAAAGCACCGCAACCGCCATAACAAGCAGCGCGCACGCGCTATAAACACGCAGGCACGCAAGCCGCGCAAGCACGTACAACGTATCGGCTGAGTCGGCCCGTGGAGGTCGTCGGCGCGTCGCTGCAGGTGACGTCGTTGGGCGGGCCGCAGTCGTTAATCCCCACGGCGTAGTTATACTTGTCGTCGTTAAAGACCGCGCTGCCGAGAATCGCGGAAGAGGAGGAGGAGGAGGAGGAGGACGTAGAGGTGCTGCCGGTAGATGCTGCGGGTAGTCAGTAACAGAAGGGGGGATGAGGTAAGGGGGGTGGGACCGGGGGTAGGGGGAGAGGGGGATGAGGTAAGGGGGGTGGTGGGGTGGGAAGGGGAGGAGATGGTGGTGGGGAGGAAAGTAGGAACGGGAGGGCTGGAGCATTCAGGTTGTTAAAGCCAGCGGAAACATGAGACCAGGGTGAAATAGCAAGCAGCAGCAGGATCCAGCAATGGCCATGGCGGCTTACAGCTGTTGGTATTCGTCGTCGACGTCACGGTCGCGGTAGACGACAGCCCCGTTGTAGTCACAGTCGTGATCATCGACGACGCCGCCCTGTCCGCCGCAATTCGCGCTGCCGACGCCATGGACGTCGCCGCCTTTTCCGCCGCCTCCTTCTCCGCGGCGAGCTTGTCCGCCGAGCTCTTCTGCTTATTCGCGTCGTTAAGATCTGCCTCCGCATCGGAAGCCTGCTTCAACGATACCCTCTCCCTCGCCGTCGCATCCGCCGCCGCCTTATCCGCTGCAGCTTTATCTGCGGCGGTTGTGGAGTAGGCGGAATTTGCAGTCGCGAGGCTCGCGAGCGCCGTTTGCGACGTTGCGAACTTCGCGTCGTAGTCCTTCTGTGCCTTATCCAGCGCGGCCGCGTTAGCCTTCGTCGGCGAACTTGCCGCCTTCTTTTTTGCGCTCTGGAGAGCTGCTTGCGCCTTGGTCGTCGCCTTGCCCGCTGCATCTGCCACGGCTTTCGCCTTTTTCACAATGTCCGCGTTTTTCGCGAGCTCCGCCGCTTTCGCATTCGCATTCGCGATTGCGGCGATCTTCGCCTTCGTCGCAGCACTCGCAGTGTCTTTTGCCTGGGCCAAAGCAGCCGCCTTGTTCTTCACGACTTCGGCAAGCTGCGCGACGGTTTTCTGAACCTGCAGCTTCTCCGCCGTGACTTTCGCGAGAGCGGCGTTTATCTGGTCTATTCTGGCCTGTAGCGCCTTGACCGCTTCGTCCGCCATCTGTTGCGCCTGCTGTGACGAGTCGCCGCCTTGCGAGGGCATGGCAGCTCCCGAGACAAGCGACGGGACGAGTAGCAACGTGATGAGACAGCCAAGGGCCATGCCGGCCGTTGCGGGACGCAACATGAGGGCTGGATCTAGTATCTAGTTTTCTAATCGAGTTGCGCTAATCTGTTCGCGCTGCCTGCAGTCTACAATATGTGGAAGTTCCTAGACTTGGGGCTAACCGCGAACGAAACCAGTGAAGGCGGAAACTGAAACGCTTCTGACCTAGTTTGCGCAACACTGGAAAGGTTGCGATATGATCGACAGTGAGGGAGTTGAGACACACGTACCTTGACCCACGTATTCTAGCCTCTTATTCACACAGCTGCGACTTCGCCACATGGAACCAGCAATGGAGGCTGATAGGGCGAAGAGTATGCACCCAACCGTGAACATGGGACGAGTCAGTCGCCACGAGGACACAGTATTTCCTTGGTGTGAGTGAAGGAAGTCTGTACTGTATGCTTGCAGCACAACAGCGTGCCGTCGAGTCCACCTGGAAACGAAGAAATGAAGAGTGAAGTCGTCTACAGTAGTATAGTGGAGTGGGGTGGAGTGGTGGTGATTCATACGTGTAGCATCATGCGCTCGAGAGAAGGGGGTTGCAGGATTTTCGACCTGGGAAAGGTCATTGGAGGACAGTGGGGAGGGGTGAAGGGGGATGGGTATTGGGCGAGGGGAAGGAGGTTGCGCGGGGGAAGTTGGACAAGGGGGTTTGGGTTGAAAGCGGTGCCTGGGCAAATGGTGCGGGGAGGGGATGAGACGGGAGGATCATATGGCACATTGCGGGTGGTGAGCGCGCGGGTTTGGAGATTGGCCGAGAGGTGTATCTGGGTTTCGGGCGGCTTGGGAACCCCCTGAGGTAACGAATCCTGTCAGGTCAATACTGGTTGGCAGTCGTGGTGAGCAGGGGAGGAAAGAAACGCGCCAGCTAAGCACCCAGGAGAGAATGAAGATGGGAAAGCTGGTGTGCGGGTCCAGGTTAGGAGGCATGGTAGGATAAACGAAATGCACGAGCCCCGTTACGAAATTCGCAATCACTGATGTTCGCAAATTCAAAAGAAGCATGCGGCGCTCACTCTGAAGTCGCGAAACGATAAGTACAAACGTGAGAGTGCACAACTACCAGCGAGAAAAGTCATCAAAAGATGACGACGTAACGATGTAACCTTGATCAGGCGTGATTAGAGTTGTGTTCTTGTTGATGGTCTGATGATGTTACAAATCAAGAAACCAAAAATGTTACAACCGACTCGAAACGACTGCTCCCAATGTTACCACCAGACGCGACACAGCATTGCTGAAAAGAGCGATGGATCATGGAATGCGAAGGGCGATCCTTTTCTGACAAGAAGCTAACCAGTGAACAGAAACGACGAAACGACAAGGTACTGCCTTTTACTCCTGAATGAAGTGATTGCTGGGGTCACCTGAAAAGCCGTTTGGACCTCCATCTGCACACTTCCCGCAAGATCCGTGAGAATTCTCTCCAAGGTTTGTTGTTTCTGATCTGAATCTAGCAGGGCTGGTGAAGGCTGCTACGTCATGCCACCCAAATTCTATCAAAGACAGCACGAACGATCTGGATTGTTGGTCCTCGACGGGTCAGGTGGTTTTTTGAAAATTCGTGTTCAGCCAGCAGCAACGACCTTAGGCTCTGCAGAATTCTCCTGCAAAAGGCTTTCAAAGGGTTTTTACCCTTAAAAACAGGTAGAATCAAGCATTACAGAGTTCACAGGATGCCCGGAATAGTGAATCCTTCCCGCTCCTTGAGCCGTCACGAGAAGTCTTCAGCTAAATGATGATGCTTAGCAAAAATTACGGCTTTCACTAGGAACGCCAAGTCTAAAAATGCAAGAAAAAAACATCTTCAGGAAACGTTCCGCTCGTAGTTGGCAAGGAGTCCCAAGATGTTTTGGAACTGATCACCCCATGTCCTGCCCAGCGTCCCTCTTCCAAGCGAATCTGGCATACTCGACTAGCAGCGCAACAGAGAGGTTGTTGGAACGCCACACCCCACCTCCCACACCCTTCAACGTCCCAAACAGCAGTGACTTGGGGAGGGCGTTCGAGACGCAGGATATCTCAGGTGCTCCGACACAACAGGGAGCAAGCAAGGAAGCACAGCCCTACCATCCAAACAACTTTAGTTTTAGTTCTTTCCAATCTTCGTCATTGTCAGTTCGACCCCACCCCATCAATCAAGGTAGTCTTCCAGTAGTACGATACACTCTAGTCCAAAGCTGCTTCAGTCCATCTCCCTCACTGGAACAGATCTCCAGGTTGTAGTTTGAATCACGATGGGTCCCAGGCTTCTCTTGGTGTCTCTGTTGATCTTACTTGTTAGTGCCGGGGCCCTTGGCAAAACTAACAGGATTAAAACGACGTCTACCGTCACTCCCACGAACGCTGATGTTCAGGCTCTGAAGCAGAAGTCCCTTGCAATGCAGCAGCAGGCATCCCAGAAGACTCAGGAGCGGATTAACGCTGAGCTGGCGGTTGGTGAGGCCCAGAAAGCTTACGACGACGCCGCGGCAGCTGTTGCCGCTGCTAGTACGGGAGTGACAAACGCACAGACGGCTAAGAATGTTGCCTCGACGATCGTCGGTAACGCCGCGAAGAACCTCGCTAAGGTCCAGTCTAATTACGACAAGGCAGTCGCCAACGTGGCGGCCAAGAAGAAGTCGCTCGACACAGCCCAGGCTAAGTACGACGCTGAGGTGAAGAAGGGCGCTGGCCTCACGGGTTCGGCTAAGACGAGGCAGGACGGTGTCATCAAGACTGCCCTGGCGGCCCTGACCAAGGCGCAAACTGACTACAACAAAGCTGTGTCTGACGCTAAGGCTCCTACCGACGCGTACAACCCCGTGAAGGCGGCTAAGGACGCTGCCGACGCAGCGCTGAAGGCGAAGGACAACGATCTTACGGCCGCCCAGCAGAAGCAGGTGGAACTGGAGCTGAAGCTGTCGGATGTGGATACTGCTTTGGCGGCTGCCAAGAAGAAGGCTGACGACGCTAAGGTCGCGGAGACCCAGGCGTACACGTGGGCCTCCAAGGCCAACGATGACTACACGACTGCTTACAAGGCGTATACGACTGCGCAGTCGGCCACTTCTACCACTACTACTACGACGACCACTACCTCCCCAAGCACTACCTCCTCTAAAAGTACGTGTGGTACTGCTGTGTTGGACATTTGTTGCTCTTCCCGTGATTTGAGGTTTGAATGTCTATCATACATCTCACGCTGCTTTGTTTTGATTGTTTCCAACAGTTCTGTGGAACGACGGCAAGTACCCTACTACGGGCGTGACGACGTGCACGGCTCCTCTGGACATCCCCTGCACGGACAACTGTACCGACAACAGCGGTTTGAACGGACGCTACGTGATTCCCAATGGCGGGCGCTGCGGCACTGGCTTGACTCCCCGGTGCTTCGGCAACGCTGTTCTGCGCCGGCAGTGCTGCGCGGCGTGCACCAACTCGACTGCGTGCTCCTTCTGGCAGCACTACATCCCGTCGTCGCTCGCGTGCTCCAACTGCGGTATCTGCTACCTGTACAAGCCCACGGACGCGCAGCCCACTTGCGAGACGCGCACGGTGGTTGTCGGCGGCGTGACGCGCACGTATGTGAATGCGTCGACTCTGGGCCGCCCCTGCCCGTACACGAAGCACGACCCGCACTTCCGCGGCGCGCACGGCACGCGGTTCGAGTTCAACGGCGCGCCGGAGAAGTCGTACTGCCTGCTGACGGACTCGAGCCTGCACGTGAACATGAAGATGCGCGGGTACTACGACACGCGCACCATCGGCGCGTCTCTGCTGCGCAACGGGTTGGCGGTGCGCACGTGGATCCGCGAGTTGGGCTTCGTGTGGAGCGTTGACGGCGTGGAGCACTCTTTCCGCCTGGCGGCGCGCAACGGCAAGTCGGACAAGCGCGACAACGGCTTCCTCTCGCTCATCGAGTTCGACGGCCGCGTCCTGCCCTCGCTCGAGGTCAGCCCACCCACTCTTACCCACTTGCTCACTTGCCCTTATCGAGGGGTGCTCGTATTTCCTCTTTCGTTTCTGAATACCGCTTAAACTAGCCCTTGGTGTTTTCATCTCATCCCTACCTGTGGTTTCAGCCCGGGGAGTCGTACAACCTGGACGGCGGGCTGGCGTTTGTGTTCAAGGGGTACGAGCAGGAGGGCGGCGGATTCTTCGACGTGGACGCGTATTCGCTGCGCATCGGCGACAAGCTGGCCATGGACATCAAGCTGAGGCCCGCGCACCCGCTGCTGCAAACGCCCGACGACGCGCAGGTGCACTTGAACGTCAACTTCAAGCACGTGTCGCGCTCCCCGTCGGTGCACGGCATCATGGGGCAGACGTACCGCGAGGGTCGCGCCGAGCGAGCCATTGACTACGCCATGCTGTCGCGGCTGCTGCGCACTCCCTTCTCTGCCGACGGCGACAATGGCCAGGGCTTCCTGGACGGCAAGGCCGCCGACTACGAGACGTCTGGAGTGCTCTCCACGGACTGTGGCTACTCCGCTTTCTCCAAGGCTATGTAAACTCGGGACTCTTCGAGGCATGAAAGCTTCAAAACGATGAAGCTTGCCCCTTGTAATTGTACTATGTATGCTTGTTCGAAGGTGTCGTAAATTTGTAAGACCCATTTGTTTCCTTGCCGTCTTTAAAATTTCGAGGATGGAAAATTTGGATCTTTAAACCAGGGTCTGCCATCAAATGCAAAACATTCGAGCTACCTTGCTTTCCTAGGCGAGGCGGACTGGTTGGTTAGGGACGTTGGCGTGCGACACTCACCCACTTTTGCCTCAGAACCAATTGCAAAACAAATAACGGCTGAGGGCTTTTTTTTGGATTTCCACTATTCGGATTTCCAGAGCTGTTTTGGAATTTTGAAATTCAGGGTAAATTATGAACGTTACTCTGATTTTTCAGAGAAAACTTCTGAAAAATAAGCTCCGGGCAGTCAGTGCAACGAATTTCCGACCCTGTATGTCCTCTAGTATCGAACCCAGGCCTTCTGCACTCCTAAGAATTGTAACTGTTATGCTACGCGCTTAAAATCTTTTGGTAAACAGAGTACATATAACTGTATCATGTCGGCCTAGCCATCTTCCACCAATTCAGGGGGGGGGGCGCTCGGTCGAAAGAATAATACATTCGCCACAAATATACACTGGTGTCTCAGAGTGGCTAAAATCAGAACCCTGACAAATCTGAGAAAACTAACATTCCAAAAAATTACACAGACACGTCAGAGTGACCCCCTAAAACCACTCTGATTTTCAGAGAAACAGAGTAATTTACTCTGATAAATAAACCCTTCATGTACATGAGACTTTAGGGCGTATTCCTACGGCCTCCTATCAAGAAACCTCCGATCAAGATTGTACCTTTTGCCTGGTATAAGTAGCGAGAGATTTTGGGTTTAGGGAATTTTCCTGTGAGAGCTTGATAGGAGGTTTTCTTGACAGGAGGATAGGAATACGCCCTTAGACAACTCTTGACATTTCACTGGCAATGTAGCTTCGGCTCCGAACCTGTTTCCATACCTGGAAGGTTTGGAACACAGCAAACGATTTTGTTCCCTTCGCATCCCTCGCTGCACCCCTTTTCGTTTTTCCAACCCTGTCAACCAATGGGAAACGGGGGTTTCCCATCAATTGCAAAACAAATGATCTACGTGGGACCCTGGTTTTAATGCTTATGTCTTGTAAGGAATTTTCTCGACATTCCTTAGCTGGCAACATTGCGTAAAGCAGCAGCCGTTGTTCGTCCGTTACTGCAAACGGGGCTAGGTTGACTTAATGTGGAATGTTTCACCAAACCTCGCCCTGGTGATCCGGCTATATCGGCTATCAGATTTATATAACATAGCTACTGTAGGCTATAGTGGGGTAGCACATATGGGGTACAACTTTCTAGGGTTTCTACTTGTACCCAACTTTCCCTTAGTCATTCCATTCTCGTTCAATTCCATATGGTATACAGCAGGTTCCCATGTGGGAATTGTTCCTAGGGCCCACCGTTTTTTTTTTTTCCTGCCCGGAGCGCACTCAGCCTATGCCCGAATCACGACCCCGTCGCGCCGCCCTTACGACCCCGTCGCGCCGCCTTCGCGGCCCCGTCGCGTCGCGCCTCCCTAGCGGCCCCGTCGAGTCGCCCTTGCGACCCCGTCGCGCCGCCCTCGCGGCCTCGTCGCGCCGCCCACGCAGCCCCGTTCCGCCGCCCTCGCGGCCCCGTCGCGTCGCGCCGCCCTTGCGGCCCTTTCGCGCCGCCCTCGCGGCCTCTCCGAGCCGCCCTAGCGACCCCTCCAAGCCGCCCTCGCGGCCCCGTCGCCTACCCTTGCGGCCCCGGCGCCTACCCTCGCGGCCCCGTCGCCTACCCTGCGGCCCCGTCGCCTACCCTGCTGGCCCCGGCGCCTACCCTGCAGCCCCGGCGCCTATCCTGCGACCTCGTCGCCTACCCCATGCGGCCCCGGCACCGCCCTTCCCGGCCCCGGCACCGCCCTTCCCGGCCCCGGCGCCGCCCTTCCCGGCCCCGGCGCCGCCTCTGCTGGCACCGTCGCCTACCCCTGCGGCCCGGCACCGCCCTTCCCGGCCCCGGCGCCGCCCTTCCCGGCCCCGGCGCCGCCTCTGCTGGCCCCGTCACCTACCCTGCGGCCCCGACGCTACCCTTCCCGGCCTCGGCGCTTCCTCTACCGGCCCCGCCGCCGTCCCCACACGGCCTCGCCGTCACTTCCGAGCCGCCGGCGCCGCCGACCTACTGCAGAGCCGCCCAAGCCACCTGAGCCGCCCGAGCCGCTGCGCCACCTGAGCCGCCCGAGCCGCCGGGTCGCTGAGCTGCCGAGCCGCTGTACCGCCGAGCCGCCGAGCCGCCAGCGCCGCCGAGTCGCCGAGCCGCAGTTGCTGCCGAGCCGCCGAGCCGCCGAACCGCCGAGCCGCCCAAGCCGCCCTGTCCGGTAAGAGCAGCGCCTCTGTCACTGCACTGCCCTTACCCTACTGTTCGCGCTGCTAGTCTACTGCTGTCATGGCTACCCCTAGTGTCCTCGCTTTTGACGGTGAGGATCGGGCCATTGACTTTGACGTCTGGGTAGATGACCTGCAGCTTTTCCTACATTGCGATAGGGCAGACGGTCTCTCCCTCTTTGACCTCACTTCTGGTGCCTCTCCTGCCCCTACTCCTGATGCTGACGCCACTGTTCGCTCACAGTGGGCCACACGCGATGCTGCTGCACGTCTTGCTGTGGGTCGCCACCTGCCTACCTCTGAGCGTGCGCACTTTAGCCAGTACAAGAGTGCTCAGACCTTGTATGACGCTGTAGTTGCACGCTACTCCTCCCCTGCCACTGTTGCACTGAGCCGCCTCATGCTACCGTACCTCTTCCTTGACCTTGCTGCCTTTCCCACAGTCGCTGACCTCATTACGCACCTCCGCACTAGTGACACTCGCTATCGCGCTACGCTTCCTGCTGAGTTCTGCGCCAAGACCCCCCCCCCCCCATGTACATCACCCTCTACTACATAGTCACCCGGCTCCGTGACTCCCTTCGCGTAGTCAAGGACCACTTCCTCTCAGTTTGCCCCACCACTCTCACCGTTGACCTCCTCGAGAAGGCCCTCCTAGCAGCAGAGAAGAGCATAGTAGCTGTAGGAGCCTCTCGTGGTGACCCTCGCACCCCCATCTTTGAGGGGTGTTACCCCTCCCCCCCTTTTGCCCTCTGTTGCCTCTGCTGCTGCAGCCGACCTGGTTGGTCTTGAGTCGGTTGGTGAGGTGTCTACCCCTAGCGGGAGACGTCGCCCTGGCAAGGGCAAGGGGGGCAGGGGCTAGCGGGGGCAGTGGAGGCGGAGGTGGAGGCGGCGGAGGGGGTGGGAGTGGCGGTGGGGGTGGTGGCGGGGGTGGAGGTGTCGGTGGCGGCAGTGGAGGCGGAGGCGGCGACGGTGGTGGCGGTGGGAGCGGAGGTGGCGGAGGTGGTGGCGGTGGAGGAGGCGGTGGCGGAGGAGGTGGAGCTGGTCGGGGTGGCGCTGCGCAGAGGGTCGGCTCCAGTGGTGGTCAGCGCCAGCAGCAGCAGCAGTAGCGCACTCGTGACATCCCCCCCCCTCAGCAGCTCCGTGAGTGGTACGCTGCACACCAGCGGGGTGGGGGTACTGGTCCGTGCACCTACGTCCTACGCACCGGCGACCACGCGGGTGAGCAGTGCGGGAGTGCGCACTCCACCCAGCGCTGCTTTCGCCGCCTGCCGGACGCTTGGCGTCACCAGTTCCCAGAGGCCGCTGAGATCCCCCGCTGGGGCGAGCTGTCTAGGGCAGGAGTAGCTGTCTTTGACCTTGACTTTGATGCTATTCTTGCTGCCATGTATGCTGTGACTATAAGTGATGAGGGTGACTGTTACCGGTGTTTTCCGCCCGACCCGGGCATTGAGACTGCTACTCTAGGTACTGGTGAGGCTGCTGCTCTAGGTGCTAGCGAGGCTGCTGCTCTAGGTGCTCGTGCGTCTGCTCCCTCAGGTGCTGGTGAGTCTGCTCTCTCAGGTACTGCGTCGGCTTCGGCCTCCCACAACTTCACCCTTGACTCGGGGGCTTCTCGCTCCTTCTTTCGAGACCACACCATACTCACGCAGCTTGGCCGGCCAGTTGCAGTCTCTCTGGCAGACCCCTCTGGGGGTCCTGTCCTTGCTCACTTCTCCACTGTCCTCCCGTGTCCGGCGGCCCCCTCTGGCACCCTGTCTGGCCTTTACCTCCCCTCGTTCTCTACGAACTTGGTGAGTGGTGCTGACCTACAGGATGCGGGGGTTCACCAGTTCACTCCTGCGAGTCAGCGGGTGACCCACTGCACGGACGCTCGGACAGGCCGACACCTGGCCACATTTACACGTCGGCCGGGGTCGAGCCTGTACACACTGACCACTACGTCTCCTCCAGTCACTGCGTCTGGTCAGGTAGCTGCGTCGGGTCAGGTGTTTGCTGCAGCGTCCAGGTCTGGTC